CCCCACCCCCCCAAAAAAAACATCCCGTTTGTAAAACCCCCGAAATTCACCACCACTCAACTCCCCTTTACAAAACCCACCACCTAACCCCACCACCACCCTTGAAACTCACCACCCAACACCCCTTGCAAAATCCACCACCCACCCCTGAAATTCACCATCACCCAACCCCACCACCACCGCCACCACCAAAACCCACTATCCAACCCCTTGCAATACCCAAATAGAAAAACAAAAAATGGAAAAAAGAAAGAGAGAGGGATTTGAAAAAAAAAAAGTAAAAGAGGGGAGGGGAGGGGATTTTTATACTCAAGCAAGAAAATCCCTTTTTTTATCGAAACCCAAATCTTATTAAATCCATTGTGAAGCCGCGCGTGTGTTCTATTTCAAAACGGAACAGGAAAAAAAAAAGCCAAAACATTCATCAAACGTTTTTTTAAGTTTTATTTTTTTGCCATAAAAAAATTGTTGATTACCAAACGACACCTTAAACCTACAAAAACTAACAAGGATGGACAATGATATTTTAGAAACTAGAGGGGCACTAGTGAAATATGACCTAAATCCCGAAAATGTCAATAAAATTTACCAATTTTATTTTAAACATTATTAATATACGAATTGTGTTACTATTTTTTTTGAGATCATGTAGTTTGAAAAAGTTTTGTTGTTTTTTGTAAAATAATGGGTAGAAATTATTAATTTTAAATTATGTAATTAAAAAAAAATAAGTAAAGAATTTTTTTTATTATAATAATATCAATTTTTTAAATGCTCGAATTTTATGTTGCATTATGCTTTCGGTTATATAATCTAACACCGTCCATTTTATTTTTTTACAAGCTCCAAATCTATGCACCATAAAATAAAACAAACTTATAAATTAATTACATAACCCACAAACATCTCTCATAAACCCCTCGTCTTTATGTCCCAAGATGGGCCGAGATCCAAAAGCCCACCTTCTTCAATTCATGTTCTCACAGCTTCCTGGGCCTTATGGCCTGATTCCTGAGCCCTCTGACCCATTTGGCCCGCCGTTTCCTGCATGCGCCTCTTTGCATGTACCATATACTCAGGCACACCACCCCCTGTTTGACGGAAATAGTTAATGATCCATGAGAAAGAAGATAGCGCGGTGATCCCAAAAGCTCCGGAGGTCAAGAATCCGGCAACGGCCACGGTGATGATGAGCACCGCCGGGACCAAAATCGGGCTGAAGATAATGAAGAGAGGGGTCGAGACAGCGAGGCCGATAAGGGTTCCGATGAGAGCGAACCCGGATAGGCATAGGAGGGTGCCACCCACTGGGAAGAGAGTGATTAGTGCCAGGACTTTGGAGGTGGAAGAAGGACCAAGGCTCTTAGGTTGTTGTTGGTAGGGTTGCTGGTGCTCGGCCATGGTAGTTTGTTAAGTGATAACTCTAGAGAGAGAAAGAGGGGGGGGAGAGAGAGAGAGTGATGACTGGTGAGGGTAAGGGTGGGGAGGACGTGGGTATTTGAAGAGATGGAAGTATAGACACGTTGGTGTCTGGTGACACTTGTTTGAGAGATGGAGTGTAGAGGTTTGCATGAGAAAATGGTCTTTTTGTCAACATGGCTTCAAGGGATTCAAACTGTTTGCCATTTTTTTTTTGTTTCTTTGTGATCGTTGTTTTTAAGTTTAAGTGGGATCATTAGTTTATGCACATGTCGATTAATTTTTTTTTTTTTTAATTTTGTCAAAAATAAATTATCTACGTGAAAATTATAATATTTATGAGAGGAAGGACGGAGCCACCTTATGCCAAGGGGACACATGCCCACCGTCAAAATATTTTTTTAAAATGGTCTATATATATTTTAAGTATTTTTTTTAATATCTTAAATTATGTCTACCCTATTTTTTAGTCGAGACTAGAAAAAGTATGATATATCCACTAGTTTACTTTTAATTTTGACATTTATTTTAATAATTATTTTTTTTTTTTGGGGGGGGAGGTTATAATTATCGCAGGCATAATAATAGCACGTTTGATTATATAATCGAATGAATGATAAATAACTAAGTAATAATATGGTTGTGGATATAAAAACTAATAAAGTTAATGCAAAACTTTCAAAGTATGAAAATTCGTTATAGTTAGTTCTAAATAGTTTTAATTAACCATTGTTACGTAAAAAAATATAACTATTTTTTTTGTCCCATTTTTATCAATTGGAAGAAAAAAAAATTTAAGTTGTTAAAATATTCGGTGCCCACCCATAGATGATTTTTTGGCTCCGCCTCTGATGAGGGATAAATCCCTTATAGTCGAACGCTAAACAATTACAAAAAATTAAACTCATAATATCTAAATTTATCGTTCATATCTGGTATCACTCGATCTACCCATTAGAATTTTGTAATTATTTTGTGGCAGCTGTTTATCTACCTCTAGAGAACCAAAATGAGAAGTAATTGAAGGGAGAGGAGCAAGGCAGACTTCCAAGTGGTTTTCCAGCTGTCTGAGTTTTTTACAATTAATTTAATAATTATAATAAATTAAGTACATATAATATTACTTATAAAGAGGTTTAAAATATAATTATTCATGATTAGACTATTTAATGGGGCATATGGCAAGAGACACATGACAAAAAGGACCGTTTGGTGAAATAAAGTAGCCCTGGCCAAACCGAAAAGAGTCTAACCGACTAGGTATCAGTGTTAGTTGACCAGAATTGAAGCCTCTTGGAGCTAGGCTCGGTTAGTGACATTTCTGATCAGTATGTGCACACCAAGCGGAGGTATAGACTTAATAACAAGGGAACTCTAAATGACTTGGTACTTAGAGGGGCATGTTTGCTTTAGAGTTTAGGGTGGTAAAAGCATATGAGATAAGCAAAAATAAGAAAGAACTTTTTTTTTTTTTATGTCGCGGTTATTATGCCTGTATTAGCTCAATTATAGCATTTAAAAATAATACCAGCCTAGATGCTATAGTGTAAAAAAAACTAATGTAGAAGGTATTATTTAATACTATGTGGGAGGTGGTATTAAAATGTGGTATAAAACTAAAACATGATACTAAATTAGTAAATTATGGTATTGACCTTTGTAATGCCTATTATTCAACATTAAGACAAAGATATTAAAGTGAATTGATATAAAATAAAATTTTTACTTTTGTTATTGGGATCACAAGAAAAATAAATTATAATATTGACCTTTCAAGTGTCTAATAATTTAAGAGCAATACTATTAGGACTTAATTTATTAATCTAATTTGTTGACTTAATTCACTAAGACCTTTGGATTTACTGTGTGTTCTATCAAATATTGAAATTTGGTGTTAATTCAATAGTTTCAATGAAACCACGTTATTAGGTCAACAAATTATGTCAAATTTTTAGGTCCAAATAGCATTTTTCATAATTTGAACTAGACAGTGGGTATTTAAGACAATTACCAAATATTATCATTACTTTTATATGACACCCACATTCATTACAAGCCAAACATAATATAAAATTGAAAAATGTATTAAATTATGTCTTCCATACCTATGAGATTAGAGAGGGTTAGAAATAAGACTCCATTTTTAAGGAACAAGGGGCTTTTGTGATAAATAATATAATTTTATACATGGATGGGATTAGAGAGGGTTAGAAATAAGACTCAATTTTTAAGGAACAAGGGTCTTTTGTGATAAATAGTAGAATTTTATACATGAATCTTTATGTTATGTAATGAACACTTTGGAGTGCTGCCATAACTGATGCGAGAAACACTAGTTCCGTCATAGCAAAAAGATCGCTAGGTTGTTATTGATGACCAAAGTCATCATAGGGAACCAATAAAAAAAGAGTAATGTTATTGAGACGTAATATATAGACATAATGAATTATCACCAATGAAATGATGATAAATTTATTTAATGCTATAATGAGACCTATCATTAAATATATTTCACTATCATTTCATCGGTGACAATTCATTATGTCTATAAATTATGTTCTAATAGTATTAGTGATAAAAAAACTGTTTATTTAAAGGTGCACATTTAAAGTTAAAACAGAAATTAAGGAATCATTGGCTAGAATTTAGGTGTGCTACCATATCCAAACCAAAATTCTATACTATACGAGCTTCGGTTTAAAGCTTAATTTCAGAGTTTTTTTTGAGTTAAGCATCAGAGTTGGAGTACTTCCAACTGATTAAATTCTGAACTGTGATTGTTTGTTCACCTTATAGAATGAAGGTGCATTCAATTCGTTTCGTTTAATTGAAGTCACTCCATTCCCAGATTAGTCACCATTGATTTCATCATTATTGAGGATAAACATCTCATCACTCAATAATTTTGTGAACCAAGTTAGGTGATTTAAATAATAATTTTTAAATTGAATTTGTTGATTTTACATTTCCTTATTTTCTATGAGACAGCTTGTTGNCCAAGTTAGGTGATTTAAATAATAATTTTTAAATTGAATTTGTTGATTTTACATTTCTTTATTTTCTATGAGACAGCTTGTTGACCAATGATTGTCAACACCATCATTACGAGAAAGTACACGCAAAAAAAAAAGAAAAAACTCGGTCAATGCATTGAGATATGGTATGTTACATGCCATTTTTAGAAGGTAAAAGAAATGTATTTCAAGTACATCAGGTACGAGAGGATTAATGGTGGATCCTTATGGACAAATGATTAGCAAGCATTCAGTCTTAATACTAAATAGAATTTACTATCAAATCAAGGTGAACAATAGACCAGATCATATACTGTGGCTCATGATCTAGCTAAAGATCTCATTGCTTGTAAATTGTAATGGAATTTCTGCATGGAGGGAGGAGGTACATCTTTTCTTGTTATACCTTCCCTATCATCTGGTTATTGTTAATAAAATCGTTACCATTTCTTATTAAAAAGAATAAGATTAATAAATTATATTCAAATGGAATTATTTTTATATTTTATTGTTCTATATTTGATCATGAAGCATATTAAATGAGCCCGTAAGTTATTCTTCTATTAAATTAACAAGAGGGTTGTTTGTACCCAACCCAAACCTCCATAGATTTGCTTTGAAGTTGGGTTGCGTCAGAGAATACGTTCGTTTGATGCTCTGTTCATTGTACCTCCAACCCAAACTTACACACATGAATTTTGAGTTAGACTAACCTCTCAGATTCACCCACCGGAACAATGTGTAAGTGTACGACCTTAGAGAGTCCAGCCGTAGCCTGAATGATTCTTCGAATTTTATACAACCAAACACTACAATTATTTCCTCCCAATATGCATCATTTTTGTATAATCTCAAGCCAAACTTGAATGCCCATGGAATTATTATGACATGTAGATTTGGAATCTAGAGGACTATCACACACTCACAAAAATATAATGGAAGAGAGTAGTGAAGATCGGAAGAACTCTTTTTATTCTCATATTCAAATGAATGTATTACATAGGATATATATAGACTCTCAAACATTACACATGACATACAAAATAATGCTACTACATAATGTAATAATAAAAATAATAAAGACTTCACTCTTCCATTACTTGGAGAATTAAAATATCATAATTACTTTGTCCCCCACTAATACCAAATTGATGACCCACTAATACAAAAAGCTAAATTTATAAAAATAACTCCTAAAACATGAAAAGTCATGTTTAATATTATTTTTTCAACACCCCCTTAAACATGATTTTTCTTCTCAACTCCAAGCAAATATATCAATTTGTAAAAGACATTCTCTTTGAGGGGCTTAGTGAAAACATTGATAATTTGATCTTGAGACTTCATAAACTTGAGCTCCACCTCTTTTTTAGTCACATACTCTCTAATGAAATGGAACCTTATGTCCCGGATTCTTTGCCAACGCTAGTGCCGATTTGTTGTCAATGAAGATCTCCGTCGATTCTTCTTGAGACAAATGAAGCTTCTTCAACAAATTTCTAAGCCAAATGACTTGACAAATACACGATGTAGCCGCCACATACTCGACTTCACAAGTCGAAAGAGTCACAATGAGTTGTTTCTTTGAACTCTAAGCAAATGCAGTATCTCCTATGAAGAAAACATACTTGATAGTACTTTTTTTATCATCCATATCTCTGACCCAATCACTATCACAATAACCCACAAATTTGGAATTGTTAGAACAAAAATATAGTAATCCATAATCAAGTGTACCTTTGATGTATCTAAGAATTCTTTTCGTCACCTTTAAATGGGTCATGATAAAAGCTTCCATATAATGACTTACAAGACCAACACCAAAAAGAATATCCGGCCTTGTGCATGTTAAGTACCT